ATTTATATCAAATGGCAGGCGTCTTGATGGTTATCATTCGCCCTTTATTCGACTTCAGGCTTCACAGAGGGGAAGGAACATCAAATTGAAAAAGTCGAGAGGGGTGGGAGCGGAAGAGTGTTTCAAAGGTGTAAGAGACAAACACAAAGGTAGAACAAAGGTGAGGTGAGTACTGTGAAAATAGTCGAATATGGCATAGAGTGAGGTGATGGAAGTTTGAAGTGAGAAGTCAACTGCCAGTTAATGGACTTTTTTGCCGTATGAGAATACGTTGCCCAGTGTACACCACGTGGAGGTAAGTCTATCGCACACCCCTATGCAAAATATTGAAATCCTAAGACCTACAGTGATGAAATCAATCGTATGCTGGCGGAAGCAATCACAATGATTGATTTCCTTTTTAAATTACAAAACATCACTGAAGTATCCCCCTAAGTTGGCTTCACTTCTTTCTTTCTGTAAATATGGCTAAACTTAATACCTTTATCTTCCGTGGTCCAAAAGAAAAACTCCATTTGAACATCGTTCTCTACTGCAAATTTCACATTTAAAAGCGCCTGCTCGAACCTACACATCATACCTGCAATCCCTGATCATTGGGAAAGAATGTGCTGATCTCAAAATTTTCAATAAACAAAGTCTGTGTTTACTTTTGGTTCCGGAAGTTCGCATAATCACAGAGCAAATGATCATTTGAAATACTTGATCTTATCTTGTCAATTAAGCTAGCAGTCACCCCATGATGTTTAAACTCGAGAACATCAAAGAAGAATATGGAAAACTCAAAGAGCCTCTGATTCGAACTTGGTGGTATTTCCGATGATTGTCATCACCACATGCCCAATCTTGAACTCTCCTCCTCACCGTCTTACATTATTCCAATTGTTTATCGTTTCCCTCAATGAGTTTTTTCATGCAGTGTCAAAATTGACAATAAAAAATTTAATGCCACGTTTATTACAGTCAAATAAGAAACCAAGTAGTACAATTTGTCCAAATAATTACATATTTTTTGGGAATAAAAATCACGTAGTGATAAGAATACCATAAGTAATTCAAGAAGGAAGGGGTCGGGCAGGTGAGTGGGTGAATTTTCACCTCATTGCCAGTCCGAAAACAGATTGGGCGGCTGAGGATGAAGTAAATTCCAGCAAAACATAAAAATGAAGCAAATAATTCGGAGGTAAACGATCCAAAGGCAGAGAAGGAAGAGGGTACGGAACAGCAGAGAATTCATTGAAGAATTGTATAATAAAGCACAACAGATATGGAGTAAATTAATAAAATAGGATGAATGAACGAATGAAAGAATTGTATTAAACTTGATTTCAAATAAGAAGTACTCAGTTCATAGCTCTGGATGATTAAAATTTCGACCAATGGGATTACAAGTTTCATCATAAAAGTGTCTGTTTTCATACCAAGAATGGTGAAAGGGACAGTTAGCCCATTCTATTATTATGTTATTATTATTACTTCTCATACCAATTGTGAAAAATATTCAATTTCCCTCGTATAAAAATAATTAAAATTTGTTAAGTCTGGGTCAATAAGTGAATTTGTATATGGTGGTAAGAAGGGGGACGCTGAAAGAGTTGTTTCATTCGATGTCAGACTCAGGTTGTAAAGTACTCACTTAGCGCGGAGTTCAAAACTATAACTTTGCAATTTGTCTATCGGATTACTGATCAAATCCTCATTGACGATCTCCAACGCTTATTGATGATTGGTCGGTTTGATCTCCTAAATTCGATTATAAAAAGCCACGTGATCTCACACGTTCTTAAGCAGCTTGAGTGATCTTTTGGTAGATCGAAAACAAGTTTTCATACCAATCCAGGTTTCGCTAACTCAAACCGGTGCGTTTGCTTTCCTATCTCATTGGCATATTCACTTACCTCGCATTCCTTTTGCCCAACATTTTCTTAACTTAACTCGGTCATGCTAAAAGTAACTTCCCTTGCATAATCTCAATTTTGCCTTTGCCTATATGGAGAAGGATATACTTGTGGCTTGTAAAACTCATGGAGAACAAAATTAGCGCTTGATGATTGCTTTTGAACAACGGACCTTCGTGGAGTCACCATAAACCTCCCCAAAAATGTGATTGAGCAAGATATCTTATCCTCCTGCTGCCTGCCGAAGGCTTTCGACCAACTGACGAATAATCGAAACAGAATAAGCAGTTTGCATATCTAGAATCTCTCAATAAACTCATTTGTCTATTATTTGTTCACAATTGTGTAACAGCTGTTATTCCACTCAAAGTCCATAAAGATCGAATTCTCTTTTATTCCTAGAGCTGTCATGACATCTGTATAAGTGGTAGCTCATTGTCTACCTCCTCTAACGCTGTTTGCGCATGTTACCCAGATTTCCGTTGATACAATACCGGAATGGTGAGAAGGACCTGTACTGCTAATCCTTGTCTACATCTCTTAAAAATCAAAACCCCCCCAAAATATCTTACAACCCCATCGGCCAGGAGCTTTTGGCAGTGTATAATGCGGTGAAATATTTTCCAATAACTGCTAAAAATTCTAGACACCGACTGGGAACTCCAAGACCTTTGAAACTATCCTAAGTCTTTCCAGTTAAACGACGTTCTAATATCGACAGCTGGATGCCAGATTTGACGAAGTCCGCATTACAAGAGTAGGTCAGCTGCCACACTCTAATGGCTTTAATTAATGCGAAAAGAAATCAAAATTTTCCAATAGAAATGTATGCCATAATTATCCACTTCCATCAAGGTCGTTACTTTAACCTGTCTGGAATTATTTCGGAGATTTCTGCAGGCAAAGAACTGTAAAAATTGTTGCGGTGGTATCAAGAGGACGAATAGCAATACTTCAATTTTGGAATATGGGCCGCTCATTTTATGAAATATTGTACAACCCAAGTCAAAAATTCAAATTTAGTAGCATTCTTTAACATCTTGATGTCGATCTCAGTGTCCTTGTGATTCCTTTCACATTGTCACATGTTGTACTCTTTGTAATTCAATGTCAGTTGCCTTCGAAAAGTAAAAAATGAAAACGCTTTAAGACTCTGGATAAAAGAGCTTGAATTCAGAGGTGGAGGGCTACCTTCTCAGCCTCCCTGGAAAGATCGACCCCAATTGTCCATAGAAACCTCTAGCAGTAAGAACACATTCAAAACTAGGTTAAACTAATCAGTTGTACAAGTTTTGTAATACCACGAGTAATAAAAATAAAAACAATCTAAAGTTGAATCATAAACATTAAAACTGGATCTTTCGGTATTACGAGACAAAATTTCTACGTTATTTCGGTATTTCATCGATCTAAAATGGTTTACTAAATGAAATGCATTCTGCTAACTTTGTCCTAACAAGAAAGATCTCTCCTCAAGTAGAAACTTGTAATTACAATAATTTACTATTAATAAATTTAACTGTTGCACATCCAAAATCCACCCTCTGTATCTCTTCTCCGTTCCTGCCTTCTCAGCGCATCCTCTTCGTCTTTGCATTCTTAATGCTTTCCTCCTCCTCCTCCTCCTCACGCTCTTTGAATCCCATTGGTCTTCCACATTTAAACTTTGATCCACTGATTGAGAAAACGGCAGTTGAATTCTGGTGGCTATTTGAGCAGTCTTAAGGTGGGTGTAAATGATAATAGGGTCGCTTCCACCTATAGACTATGTACGATTACAAGCACCAAATTACAGCAATTAAATTTAATTTTGCCTCAAATTTTGGGATTTAAATTCCTTTGGCAGCACCTATTTTTCCGAGGTGTAATTTTTGTTGAAACTTCGCAAAATGAGTAAATCAACGCATTTGACGTCAGTGAGATTGGAGTTCCAATAAGAAGGCGGAGAGAAAGACGATTTTTTCCTTTCCCTGTCCATATATGTCCATATCTGATATGGAGATTGCACGTAGTAAAGATCCTTCACTTCATGAGACGCTAGTAAATCAAGCTTATAGATACGTTTATATTTACAGAAGCTTTGAACGTCCATTCTTTCAAGCTGTGACCTGAAGCGGAATGAATTCGGATCACAATAGGAACCCTGACTTATGCACACCAATTGTAGTGGGTTTCATTGGGAAGAGGCAAATGAAAGAATTGGCTAAACTAACCATTCAATTAATTTGGTTGGTCACTAATGGGCTCCGAATAGCAGCGCTAACATTCCAATATTTGAGCCATGGTATTACTGAATGGAAAAAAGAGATTCAACAGCTTTGATACTTCCAGATTTCAAATAAATCATGATTGTTGGCACTTTTCATATTTTACAAAATTACTTCGCGTGTTCAGACGCTTTATTAGTCATTTAAAAATACCTGAAACCAAAATAAAGAAAATGCGCTTTCGAGAATTTGATCGTTTTAAAAATTGGTTAATCAGTAGTTACTTTAAAATGCTTCATTAGTATCTACACCTCGGTGTGATAAATAAATAAAAATGTACACCAACAATTAATCTAAAATTTTCAACAATTTGTGTAACCACCAATCATTTTAAGCCTCCTCTTCTCAACTGATAAACTCACAAAGATATAATTCATCACATACAGAGCCAAATGAGTACACAGCGAGCGAGCGAGCTATTGATCGATCGATCGAGCGAGTGCTCAAATTAGTTAGTAGTCAGATGGAAATAAGTAGTAAGGAGAAACTGATAACACGAGGAAAAGAGTGAACAACACAATACAACTCGCTTTCTATCACATACATTTTTAGAGAAAGTCGGAAAGTGTAGGAGAGCATTATTTAGAAATGGGTGAACTAAGGTAGGACAAGTGAAGACGCCGGTTGATTTGAGGAAAAGGAGTCGGAATGAGTGATAAATATGAACGAATGATTGGAATGACCTTGAAGAATGTAGCCTTCTTTCTCCCTCCCCTAGGCTGCAACCGCTGCAGGTCTGTGCGAATTAACCAATTTGGGGTTCACTACACCCCGTGTTCCGGGCCCTCCAGGAAGGTGAGCTGAGGTTGGTTCTGTAGGTAGCACGGTCGCGCCCCCTTCCTTACCACCTACGGTAGGGCCTGATGGTAAAGTTGGTGAAGGTGGAGGCGCAGATTCACTCCTGGGGATTAAAAATTAAACATTTATACACGTCTAGATAATTTCTAGGCTAAACACAACAGAAGGAAACAAACAGAAAAGGTGAAATTTAAAATACTGCCATTATTATGCACTACTTATTATGATGGGATAAATATGAACTGAGAATAAGAGTTGATGCGATTATTCAGAGTAACTATAACGATCTCCAGACGTTCAAATGCTCAATAAAGACGGTGATGGGTAACCGCGTAGCACTGGTCACAGTGCGGCCTTGAAATGTCAGATTTAATGGATTACACTACCATCGGTGAAGGAAAATTAAGCGGAATGGGAAAGTTTGTCTAACAGGGGGGGGGGGTGGCAGAATTTGCTTCTTTCATCTAGAAGGTTCCATATTGTCACTCATTAAACAGGATGTGCATTGGAGAGAGCTTTGCTAAATGGGCCTGAAAATCTACTTTTAATATCTTAACGATATGGCCCGATCGGTACAATGACCACTTGGAATTGGCACAGTCCGCACTAGAATTCCATGTAGTTCAAGATAAGTGAGGCGGATGTTTTATATTTGATTCTGAAAAAACGCAATTTATTTGATTCACGCAATTACAAAGGACTCAAAATGGAATTAGTAGTACGCCTATAAATAATCCACTGACGATACCAGCTAGCAAGCAACCGAAAATAATAAATGAAAATAAAATTAACGATGATATCAAAAGTTTCTGTCAACTTCAATACATGCCTGGGATCGGCATTTGCTAAATCGAATGAAGTCATTACCAACGACTGTTTCCTCACGTTACTTCTTAAAATCCTATAATTTGTGTTACAATGTGAAAGAGAACGAATGACAATTACTAAAATGGCAGAACGTAGTTTTATTGGAGAACGCATAGCCACAATTGGCCAATCAATGATTAGCTCCTACCTGTGAAATTGTCCAATAAACACCTGATCTGTATCAACATCCCGTTCTTCTGATATTGGCAAAAGATAATTATATGACTTTACTCGGAATCCGCGTGAATTAGAACACCATACATACAATTTTCCTATGGTGTTTTCCCCAACATTACAAAGAATCCAAAAAAAGTTTCAACGTTGGAATGTTACAGGTTGAAAATAACAGTAAATTAATGTTGCTGGTTGTACCCAAGTCAGGGATAGTCTCATCTATTAATTCATAACACCTACACCCACCCACCCACACACACACACATACAATGAAACCATAACTTAAATGACAACAGACATGCAAACAATGACGTAATGGGCAAGCTCACAACAGTGAATACAATGTGGATAAGCTTGATTACAAATGAAATTAACTGCCCCGATGGAGATAATTTGAAAAATATTTCCTCCAGTTTAAACGGGATGTCAAACTCTCCAAGCTAAAATCCATCTGGTATCAAATTAAGTGCTCACTTGGAATCAACCAAATTTTAAACATATATGGATTAGTGATGGAGGTTTTAACTAATGAGAGTTAAAATTCTCACACATGAAGATCTTTGGGGCAAAGTGATAACAAGTATGATAACGAATTAGCCATTTAACTATTATTAAACTGGTAATATGGATTGCTGAAAATAATCTTGCACAATGTAAATGTTTTTTTTTAAGAAATGAGTGTCGTCGCATAACCTAGTGGAACCATTTAATTTGTGTTCGCATTTTGCTGTCGCCATTTTAGGTGAATCCTTTTAAGGTGGTGGCGAAAGCTGACGACGAAGAAAGGACTCAATATGGAGAAGTTGACACTTAATATTAACCATCTTCCCACGAATATTTAACCAAAGACCAATATCAGTACCAAATCCATGTAAAAAATTTAAATTCGAGAAATGGTTCGTAGGTAATAAACTGCACCGCAAGGGATGGGAAAGAAATGAAGGGAAGTCTAAAAAAAATATTGATTTTCCTCAAAGGCTGAATAAAGCCATGACATCTGGACTTTAAATTAAGTTTCCTTCAGAAACTGTTCATGTTTTTAATTGCAGCCGAAATGAAAAGTGCCAATTGCTAACTCGTTTTAAGGGCTATAATTGAGGCTGAATGTAACAAGACTACGAAGTATTCAGACGTCGTTTGGAGAAAATATTCCAATTTGGCTATTTTGTATAGACAGCAGTAACCTGCAATCGGCCAGACATTTTTTCACATGTCTTTATTTTGAACTGGAATTTTAATTTTTAGAAAAGGTAGAAGAGGGAATTCTCATCTATTAGTTTCGACTCAAGTGAACAATGAATGGAGCAGATTACGAAGAGAAAAGTGCTTTTTTCCTCTTCTACCAAAGTTCACAGTAAAACGTATTGCGCGCAGAAAAATCTCCCAACGAAAGTGAATGCGAGAGTTACAACTCACCCTCCCCCCACAGCAACCAACCAATCAGTTCGCATGCACATCACACCCACTCACAACCACGTGCACCAATCGCATTCGTGCCTGGTAGGCCATGCAGTTTTTGGCTTGCTTGGGCAAAATGAGAGTGGCCAATCGATAACAGAACTAAATCGCTTACTCCCCGCCATTTCCAACACACAGAACTCCACATTTTGCCAAAACATGATGAAAGGAAAATGGAATGATAGTTAGTTACTACTTTGACCTACGTTGAACGATCTCAATAGGTGTAATAGATCCTAGTATAACACAACTTAATTATGAGTTTAAGTTGGTTAGATAGGACATTTTTGCCAATTTTCAGAATATGCGACCTTGATAATTAGGAAATGGAACGCACACACTGACTTCAAACTACCATCACCCCACTCTATGTCATATTCCACTACTTCCATAGTAATCACTTCACCTTTTTCTACCTTTGTACCTGTTTCTTTCGCATCTTTGAAACACTCTTCTGTTCACCCCCCCCCCCCCTCTCGACTTTTGTCACTTTGATGTTCCTTCCTCTCCGTGAAGCCTGAAGTCAACTAAAGGGCTAATGATAACTATCAGAACGCCTGCCATTTAATATAAATAAATAAATAAATATCCACAACGGATATATCTTCCAAAGAACGAATAAGCTGAATGAGTATAATTAAATAGGAAGAGAATGATTTCATTTCTACTAAGAAGGGATAAAGAGAATAAACAATAAAACGTTCGTTATTTGACATCACAACATAGATCATACAAAGGGTAATGGAATTTGACTTACTTGCCGCCGAAAATATACCCTAAAGTTTTGAGAAGTTGGGTGAATTGTAGTCTTTGAGGATCAAATCTCCATCGATCGCATTTTCAAACGCTATCGGTGGTATTTTTGACACTACGATATTTTTTGAGCTTAACCAAGTCCAAGGTAACTTTAATCTAATTTATCAATCATTCTGACTGTCTAGAGCAGTAGAAAAGATTTTTCCTCCAAAAAACCAATATCTCGGATATAAAAATGAAGAAACCAAACGCTTGAAAAGTAACTTTAATGCTATATTAGTCCAACTGACTGAAATTTAAATTAATCAAGCAAGTATGCATAGCTGTAAATCAGGGCAAAGGCAAAATTGCTTGTATCCAGAGCAAATTTCAAATAACCAGGTTAATGATTCTGACAAAAATGGCAAATAATTAAACTCAATTTAAAATCAGCGTAAAAAAGTTTGATTTCCAACCCGGTGATAGGATTCAATGGAACTATCCCAGAATTAGTCAAGACCGCGTAGAATGAGATCAAATACTGAAGGTCCACTTTTCAAAAGTGAGTTAAAACTGGAGTTTTTTATAAATGGGCAAAAAATTATGGCTTCATAAAATTAATAACAAAATAAAAGTGCGTTTCTTTAAAGTTAAATTTAGCTGACAAGCCAATAAAAGAGATTGTGCATGGAAAGCAATAATTACCTCAAATATTAATCAATTTCGAGAGACTGAAGTGAATGCTTCTAACGTGGAAAAATGCCCATCAAATGTATAGCAGAAAATCGAACACTATCAATACACATCTGATGAGATAGAGATTTCCAATAATAACTCATCAAGATTACTCATAATAGCTTTCACATTTCTTCACTCTAGTTCGTAGTGTTTATAAATGAACACCAATTTTGAATTGAATACACTGAAGAAGAGCGTTTCATAGCAAATAAGTTTGTAGTGAGAAAAAATTCACATTGACTCGTTCCAACGTTCCAAAAATTAGAGTTTCATTTAGTAATCGGCATTAGTGTATCATGATAGACTGTGTTAAAGATTGTACAAATGCGAAAGAACCATAATTGGACGAGATTTGCTACCTCATATAAGCGTCGACAAAACAACGACCTCTTTGGAGCCTATTCCCAAGGTAAAAGCTCCAATTAGCATAACAATATTAAATAAGAAATTTTATTCCTTAGAATGATTTAAGCTTGAATAATCTGACAATCCGACGTCGACAAGACAATATTAACGCAATAAAGCAATAATAAAAAAGGAAAACAAACACTTATCTTAATATACATCATGGCATAAGAAGTCGTTGACTCAAAGTCTGTAAGAGCTGAATTCTCCTCAATATGAATACTCCATTAACTGCCTTTTAAATCCAAATCCAAAGCCAGTTCACAGCCTCCCTCAAATATCCATCTTAATTGAACATCAAAGCTTAAGACGAAACATCAGGATATCAATTTGAAATGGTCACCAACGAATTCAGTCAGTCTTTCTCTCAATAAATATCTATACCCTAGTATTCTCCTTCCTTTTGGTTATATTTGACCCAAAATAAGTAACCCAACTTCACCAATATGTTCATAAATAACTCAGACAACCTGAACTCGTGATTGGATTAGCTTACCCTAATAAAACATTTTAAAAATACCCAGGTTTTAAACTAACTTAAATCAACTAAACCAGCTTTTGTTCATTTAAGTTCTGGTGGATACTTAGAGCAAATTTCGAAAACAGGTGGCAGAATAATTTCATGATTTTACAGGCTGAATATCGAACATGTTACACCAGTCATGAGAGCTTAAGTGAGTCCTAAGGATTTCTAAGGCACAGGACTATTAACGGAAAGATCAAAAACAGACATTTTAGTCAGGGAATTTTAAGAGAGTTAAGTTCCTTTATCATGATAAAAGAAAAGCTAATTATCTATAAAAATGATCACGCTATATTAAATAACAGAAAAATAAAGATTAACGGATTTAGCATTAAAAATTGTTCAAAGTATATTGGATGAAATAAAAGTTTAATAACGGTGACAAAAACTATAGTACACAATAATTAAATGATTTGAGGCAGACTATCATGAAGTGTTTTGGAAATTTCAAACGCTCTAGCTATCAGTCAAGTTAAAGTGCGCAATTCGACTTACAGCCCAAAGCAATAACGAGAATAAGTCCAACTGCACCAAGGGCTAATGTCATCTAAATAAAAAAAACACTAATTATTCGAAAAAAAAACATTTTAATGAAACCAATGGAAAAATGATAAAAATTTGCCTTCATATTTTTCCACCAATATTTGTTTTTCAACTTTCCAGCACTAGCTTCGAACTGTGATGCACCGGCCTGAAGAGCATCTGAAGGAAGCGGGGAATTTAATAGATGAACATTTACGAATCTAATAAATGAATAGTTGAAAAATCACCTGCACGATCATCAAGCTGGGCAAGCTTTGCATCTCTCTCAAGCACTTTCTCCATATTAACCCGCATGATATCGACAACTTCATTAACTTGAGCCTGCGTTTGCTGGAATCTTTTATTCGTTGGAGCGGGTCGAAATGGTTCACCAGAAGCATTTTGATCTGGTGTAGGTTCCCTACAAATTAAGCAAGCATAAAATAAAAAAATCAAAACAGAAATAACTATTATTATGATTATTTTACATTATTAAAGCAAAATCCAGAAGCAAGCAAAAGCCGACTTTGAAAAGAACTCCGGAGTTCACACCATGAGATAATGGGTTAAATTTGGTTAACTTAAACATTTTGAATTTAAGAAATCCTACTTCTGTTATAGATTAAAATTAAAAAAATGCTTAAATAATTATTAATAATTCTAATATTTAATCACAAAAAATATTGTCAATTTACTTTTTAATTCAAAATGCTTTAAAATAATAATAAAACCCATCTTGTTGATTAATACGCACTTACTTTTGATTTTTTAATTACTATAAACTTGAATTGTACAATGGTTCAATGTATGTGTAAGTTAAGGTAGATGAAGCGCGATATTCGTTTGTTTATAATATTTCATCATAATTTAATTTAACACAACCAAATAACGATCACCATAGTACGAGAGTGAAAAATCGTTCATTTCAAATTATTATAAAAGTAATTGGTTATGACAAAGTTAAAGTTAAGCATCTGGATAACATATATTTGGTCTTATATGAGTCTGGCTTCTAACAATTATAAGTCATTAATCTAATGAGTTGAATATTACCTATATTTGCGACATCAATATGCTTGAATAATTCCATCAATGTTTACAATATCCACTACTTTCTTTTATACTTTATCTGGTTATAGTCTTACTTTGTTGATCATTGTGTATTTAAGACAAATTTGTGCGTTTTTTAAATGATTAGTA